CATTATATGTACACTTTTAATATGAAGTTATATAAACCAAGATATCGGGAAAATGATGCATGCAAATCAAAATCTCCAGTTTGATATAAAAATATAAAATATGTGTTATCTGGAACATTCCATTAACATTGTAATTTAGCAACGTACATACGAAAAGAGCGTTCTGAGATGGGGATCTAGGAATGTCTTCTATGGGCAGGTACAATTGTACTAAACGAATAACATTTCCTTTAAACTTTAGGTCCACTCTTAAGTTCTTTTTTCATTCCATTTGAAAGTGAGTGGTTTTCTATCGCAAAGATGAACCTCGTTTTTCTAGATACTAAAAAAATGTAGACCCATTTAAATTCCTCCCTAGAATTGCATTTTAGGTGTATGATGATTGTCCATAACTTCAGAGATATCATTGTTCGATATTACATTGTTAAGTTAATTTTACATTTTTAATTTCAATTTTACATGTGGGTATACAGTATGACGGATTAATATTTACTCATAGAGCTTTAATAATTACTTACAATTTTCATTCATGTTTTCAACTTTTTGTGTAAAAGTTGACATTTTGAACAAATTTTTCTATTTTTCAATTCTGCTGGAGAGACACTTGTAAAACATGTTTTCTGCTGATACAAACATTTTGAAAAACTTGCCTCTTTTGTTTGCGGGTTTTTTAGAAGATTTGAACTCGTGGCCAAAATGCGCACCTCGGGTGAGAGAGAATACAATATATACTTTCGTTTGAATGTACATATACCATTCAACATTGTAGTTTTCAGTATTTACTCATAGAGCTTTAATATAATATAAAAAATATTTATGTTTGTAGGTAATATCGGCAAAGGATCACTATGAATCGAAATCACACGATAGAAATATTACAAACTGGATTACAAGGGTAAGTAAAGTTCAAAGTTCACAAAAATATTTTGACTAATTACTAATTGGCCTGACGTTCAAGTCACATACTTACCCCGGTTTTCAATAACTCTGATTCCTAATTGTGTTAATGGGCTTTGGCTTAAAGAAATAATTTTAACTGACTTTAAGCCTACGATAGTTTCAGAAACAGAAATACTTGTTACAAATGTATGAAAATGTTTGCCATTAATATATATCTCATAATTTCAGAATTATACTGAAAAGGGCCTTAACCCTCCCGAGATAGTGCGTTATTATAAGCAAGGGCCCGTGGGACCAAATGCATTCCATTGTGACCTGTGTGATTTAAAGTTAACTTCGTTGACACATGCTCAACAACATTTTGCTGGCAGAAAACATCAATTGGTTCTAAGTCAACGATCGAAGCCTTCTGGCGCTGGTTATTACAATAATGAAGGAAAATGGGTTAGACTTTCCACAAAAGCTTTTCCAAAGAGTGCAGATCGACGATTCGGAATTGGCGAACAATTTCTTTACTCATCCAATGATAACGTCACAACAACCACTGCCAATGAATCTTCTAACTCCGTCATTAATTCACCAACACAAACGCCAGAAGAGAATGCTGCGGCCAAACCCCCAAAAATCCCTAAAATGAATGAGCATGATCCAAATCTCTTTTGTGCGGTATGTAATGTAAGTGCAACATCAGCATTACAGATGACAATGCATTTAACTGGAGCTAAACATCAGAAAAAACTAAAGGCTAGTGGCGTTGAAATCACCAATACTGGCCACGCTCCATCTTCTACTACTGCTGCTGACTCAAATCAAAATGCGGATAATCTTCTTAATTCCGTTATTAATGAACTGAAACCTGATACAACCGACTTGTCAATGTACCGCACTCCTAGTGGTCAATATTATTGTCAAACGTGTAATTTAACTATTACCAATCTAAGTAGTTTGCAAAAACATCTTGAAGGAAAGCGTCACCTCAAAGTTCAAATGGAACAAAGGGCATTAGCAGCAATATCCAAAGTAAAAACAAAATAAGCAAATGAATTTGTATACCAATATCATTATTGGTCTGTTCCAGAACTGCGAGAATGTAAAAGTTTTTACTACGATAGCCGATGTTTTCTTTATGATATCGAAGAAAATTGCAAAACTAGTAGATTCTTGTAGGTTCTGAAACAGAGCGTATGTGTTTTTGATAAACACAAAATAGTCTTATTAATTTATTATGAAATCCTTATATTTTATTAGAATAACTCTCTTGAACATTAAATAAAAAATGTTCCTTATACACACACACAAAATCATTTGAAATATATTTTACTTAAGAAGAGAATCTAAAGGTAAGTGTGCAAAAACACACGAAGCACTAGGGAATCGACGAATGACATTAAAGAATACCTTTTTATAAAGGGACTAGACAAGTAGGTATTACTTGTGAGTGACGCATATACATATATTAATATACAGAATTTGCACTGTTTTTGACTGAAGATGAAAACCAAAAACATATGATCTACAAAATAAAAAAACAGGAAAATGAAGACAAAACTTATCCAACTGCTTTTCACCTACCGATTCTAAATATAAATTGATAATTATATGGATATTAAATGTACTTTGCACTTTAAAAAATGTTTTATTAATGTGTTTAAAACAACATAGTACGGAATTGCGACATCTTCTAGTTTTCGAATGACAAGTACTTAAAAAAGTAACTTTTTTATATTTACTGGAAAAATTACATATTTTGGTTTTATGTTTTGAATAAATAAAACTAGTAAAAAGTTGTAAGTTTGGCCGGGCCGAACTTTGAATGCCCTCCACCATTTGGAACGAATTTGGCAATATTTAAAAAAAAAAAAAATCCGTTAAAAATTCTGTTAAAATCTTAAAAAATGGTCTATACGACGTGAATCTGCACAGACAATTTTCTGTTGTAGTATCCATTACGAACTTCAAATATCAAATTTGAAGCACTTCCGGTGAGTAACGTCGCTAAAATCATCAAAATACCGAATAGCGGTGGTCAAAATATTCAATACCAAAAGTCCTGCAAACAAAATAACATTTGTGTAAAATTTTATCAATCTACTTCAATTCGTTCGAAAGCTAGAGTGACTTACACAGACCGGCGGACATCGCTAAATCGACATAGAATTTAATGCTGATTATGCTGTGGGGTATAAAATGTATATTTCGAGGTATTACAAACGGAATGAAAAACTTAATATTCCCTCCCTACTATGGAGGGTTATACTAACAATGTGTAACTCGATAATCATTTTCCTTGTTTGTTTGTCTGTAAGAAAGTTTATCTTTATACCCGACACCACATTGTGGTACAGAATATTGTGTATTTGTGCATTTGTTTGTAACATGCAAAGGGAAACGAGATAAACCCATAGTTCCCTTTGATGACCTTCATAGGATGATATTCTGAATAGCTTTATACATGTTCGTCTGTTCATATATTTTTGTAAGAAAAAATGCAGATCGCATTTACTGTGTGATGAAATTTTGCACACTGTGGTGAAATTTTACACAGTCCCTGGGCCAAACAACCAGGGACGAACGCTATTTAAATTGGTAATAGACTTAGATATAGCTCGATTTCAGGTTTATTGTACACCAAATGCATAATACGATTGAATTTAGCCTTTGTACGAAAACTTCATAGCAATTATATTTGGTTCGTGAGGTCACGTCAAGTTTAGTTGTAATCGATTAGGATATAGCTTTCATAGGTTAGTTTTAACCGATTTCTAATTTAAACCGCTCTAACGCATTTATATTCAATTTGTATTTAAATTGTCAATATCGTTTATTTGCTACAGGTGACTACTAAATATTCACAGTGAATAAAGTCGGCTCGACTTTTCTGCTTACTGGTTTGTTATATTTTATAGTGGTCTGAGCCAAAAATTCGGTTTTCATGATTCATATGGCCAATATACTGGAAAATATTTTAGTATATAATGGCTACATAAAAAGGTTTAAGTAACATCATAACTGTGTAAATAGTGACTGAAGCGACTTTTAACAACCACCTGTATCCGTATACCTATCTACATAAAACAAGGAAGCTTCCTACACACCTATTTTACAAATATATTTTGAAACAACTGTACTTCATCTTCTAATACATCACCGCAAAACTCGTTACTGGAGAATGAGTCATCGCACCGTGGCTGAAAGCTGGAAGAATAAAACCACCTTAAACAACTATGGTAACTATGTCAAGGGTCAGATACTTTGACGACATAAAAAAACACAAATTTATTAAATTTATAATTTTTAATTAAAACATAACGTTTTGACAGAAAATAATAAATGGCATCATCATACGATCTTTATGGTAACATTATAAGCAGAGACATGCCTGTGATCTATACTAAATTCCTCTACCTTTAAACCACTGTGCGGTGACTCATTCTAAGTCATCAGTGTTAGATACGAGTACAGTTGCCTCAAAATACTTTTATATAACATTTTAAGGCAACTGTACTCGTAGCTAACTTCGACAACACAGACTGAGTCATTACACAGTGGTTCGGTTCAAGGCTCTTTACGTAGCTGATCGCCTATCTGTTAAAGAGTAATTTGCTAATTGTTAGGTATAATCTAATATTCCACATTACTATATTCTTTTTTGAAATAAAAATGCAGCCATTATTCAATTTCATACATTCGAAAACAATAGTTCCAATCAAAACTATGCAAGGATTTTAGGAAAAATTAAAATTTCAAATACGTGCTGATAAAAGCAATTACATTCATGAAGTTCCTCCTTAATATTTAATGAGCCAGAATAATACTAAATATTTCAAACTGAAATAAAACCTAGAACAACAGCTGAAGAAAACCGTTTTGCACACTAAATTTACCGGTCATAGAAGTTGAAATTCCATTGTATTAAAAAGTATTAGCCAAATATCCAGATCACTTCCTTTCGTTTTTTTTTTTTACTATAGCTTAAAAAGCTCTACTACAGCTCACATTTTTTGCATACGTAGGTAATTAAAAAAAACATGTATTTTTTTCTCGTCCATTTACATTTGGATCTAGCATTTATTAGTTGACTCATTTAAAATACCAAAACATTAAGTTCTATTAAATTTATTTTTGTTTATATTTTTTTACAACTAAAAAAGGAAATCAATTGAAAAGGTATGTATATAACGCATTTTTCTTGTTGTAAGACAAAATTAAAGAATAAATCTGCGGGAAAGTTCAACGTGAATTTTAAATACAAAAATTATGACAAATAGATGATGAAGAATGTGATTCGACAAAAGTTCAATTCACTTTCAACAGTTCCATACATTGTTTCAATTGAAGCTGGCTGATTGATTGGATTTGGACATACTCGATCGACTTTTATATTTTTTAAATATATATTAAAATTATTACTTTTCATGAGTTTTTAATATTTATTAAGAGTAAAATTAGATTTGTTGTGTTTTGTATGTATAAAATTAATAGTAAATGTTGTAGCCACCCGTCTGTTGTTGATAAACTTCAATTGTATCGCCTTCTTCCATTTCCAAGGAGGTTGGTGTGTCGTTCTCGTTTATAGGTTGGCCATCAAAACGAAACCGAACCACTTGCATGGACAGACCCTGGAAATTGGACAAAACAATAGGGCATATATTAGAATGGGCATAAACTAAGGTTGGGTGTACATAATGTGAGACAACTTACCGCTCTGTCACAGTAGGCATTCATCAATTTTCTGAGTGGTGTATGTTTCTTAATTTTGAATTGTACCACAGCATTGTCCTGTCCCAAAACTTTAAGATTAATATGTTCGGTTTCTGATCCCTACAAATGAGAAAGAATAAATATTTAAGTTGCATTTTATATTTACATCCATTTAGACCCACTGTGCGCAAAATACGTTTAAGGCAAAGTGGGTACGTTTCGTTCAAATAACGCTACAGAGGCCCTAAACCATAACAATAATTATATTTCGACCCATACAAAACGTGTATACACACATATAAATATGGATATACAACGTTGTGGACAAAAATAATGCAAAAACAATGTTAACTGAAAGGCAAGAAGTAACGCTCCGAAGATTTGCAAGCCTCGTTTTCTAGCATTGACGCGGAAGTAGAGGGCAAAGAGTAGACACTGTGTGTAGGGTGTATAGTCAACGAAATCAAGAGATAGATGAACAAAAGCCACCAGAAAATGTTAGGTTATGTTTTATACGTATATTTGTCTTGCTAGAAATTACCGGAACCTTTAGTTCCAAGCACAACTGGCGTCCCAGTACATCATTGGGTACTGTTGGAGATATCTCTGAATTTGTTGAAATCACAACGAAACGTTCGGCATTTTTTTAACATACAGATGGTGGAAAAGCCGCATTGCGTCTCTGTTGCCGCGCCATGTTTGTCGGCGTCATACACACATTTTTCTTGTTCTTTTGTGCAGTTTTTTTCTTTTTCACTAGAAAACACTCGTTTTTGATTTGTTTCTCTGAACTATTTTGTTGCCTCAGTTGCACACATACCTTCTTTTCGTCAGACATTTTTATTTAATTTGTTTGTTTTTTTTGGAATTTACAATGTAAAAATTAGTTTTAACACTATTGAATTTTTGTAACTGAACAAATTTTTAAGTCTCCTCGCTTCTTATTCGTTCAACACTTGCGGACAATCAAATACTGCTGCTGCCTTGCAAAAATTTTTCGTTAAGCAGAGCCGAAGAAAATGTATCAAGAAAAAAGCCGCCGCGACGCACCAGCCATCTTCTATCAACGCCAGCCATGTTCGTTAAAATACATCACTGCGTCGATGTTGCCACATATCCCTAATGTGATGTTATCGTTGTACAACATGTCGCATATCAAAATTATATTTCTTTAGTACGCTGTCAATAATATTAATAAAATTACGAAAATAAATTTTTGATATTGGGGCTAAAATGTTAGATTACAAATTTTATACATATAAAAATAGGATAAGCTATTACGTATTTCAAATATATATGTACAGTTTGCACAGACGAGTACTCTAATTGTATAAATTCGCATTGCCTTGTTAGCTGACTTATCGTACAACAAAGTAAGATGACAGTAAATGCAAACCCAAACTATCATGGTAGAATTAAGAAGGGGAAAAATTATGTATTATTAATAATAATTGTTATAAAATTATTCATTTGACAACATCTCATTGTCAAAATTTTTATTTACAAATCCAAATCAGAAATTGGAACAGGTTTTCTATGCATTGAAATTTGAAAATGTAAGTTATAGAAAACGCAGAGATGGGCAGACTTATTTCAACATCTTCTTAATTTTACCATGCAAATTATATATCAAGAAGAATTACAGTTTTCTAAGCTGTATTTACTACTACTGTCACAACTGTTACTGTCAGAAACACAATCAAATAATAAAAACAATATTGTCGAAAAACAAAAGAACAAGTCATACAATAGAGTGGGGGAGCTGAAGATAAATAAAACTACATTATTTGATAATTTTACAATGGTTTTCGCAATTGTCGGATCGATTAAAGCTTTCCCTTTAGATTGTCCCTTGATTATATGTAAAATAATTTAGGGGTGGCTGTAAATCAAGTCTTACTTTACCGAACATATTTTAATAAAACGTGTTATTTATATAGTCAATTTCATAGGTTTCACGTCAAATAAACGACCAATCTTCGTAAAACTCGTAATTTATGTGCCGGTGTAAATAAGATTTATGTCACAAAAAATTTTTATGTACTTTCATGGTAGAAGAATATAGGTAGATACATCAAACATGTCAAAAATTTTAAAATGTTTTGTCAAAAATAAGTACATTATGGCCCGTTCTTTTATCTTCCCTTTACTTTACTACATCTTTCCTTTAAAATATATGCATTTCTTACAGAGATATGGCAAGCTTTTTGTAAAAGTAACTGGTAGTCACAGCATTGTTTTTTCACAATGACATCTTTATTTTAGGTTGAAAATAATAAACAAAACGAATTTGTAATTAATTTTGTGAAATAAATTTATAATTCAGTTCTTCAAAATAAAATAAATGATTTGCGTTTTCCATTTCTTTATTTAAATATATTTTGCTGTTATTGTCATATTATCAATATAAAATATGACAACATGAATTCAGTAAACTTTACGTTAATAGATAAAGGAAAGATGGTCTGGGACTGGTAATAACGAAAAACGATTTATGTGTCCGACAACATCACTTTTTTATCTATCGGAAGGATGTAATAACCGGCCTATGATATGTATTTTCCAACAATTTTTACAAATATCAATAATTTATCATTCACAAAATTTCAATTCCAAAATCGGTTTGACAGTTCATTGTCCCAACAGCTGTGTCGATGCGACTACATGTATTCTTCTACCATGGGTCTTTTGTAATCGAAGGGTAAGTATGTCAAAATAAAAACTAACAGCGTTACCTAAAATTCGACGTACTTGGATGACGTTTTCCCTCACACAAATTAAACACATATATTTATATGAAAGTTACCCAAATACGACAAGCGTACAAAATGTCAAAGCTGAACAGTTTCAACTTTGACAGTTAAACAATTTATTTTTTTCTGTTAAAAATCGATATGAGCAACGTGGATCGTAAAATAGAGATCGTAAGGAGAGATCATTTCATGTTTTCATAGAACATGAGTTCAGCCCCTGATCATGTGGATGTAAATAACTAGGAATTGTTCCCTTCAATCATAGTGATACATTTACAAAAAAGTAAATAAATAAATAAGTAAAGGTGGGAATACATAAAGCGCTTATTTGGCTGACTTAAGTCATCGGCTAGCTTTTCGTAGAGGAACAAAAGAGTTTTAGGTTAACTTAGTTCGATTTTGTCCCTAGACTCTTTTGTTCATTTCCGAAGAAGCTGGCCGATGACTTAAGCCAGCCAAATAATCGCCTTATGTATGCCCGACTTCTTAGACAAAAATGTAATCAGCTGTAAGCTCTACTTTACCTTCGTATGCAGTGAAATTTGACAAGGTAAATTACAGAAAATGCAGAGATGGATGTGCTTATCTGAAATGACTTTACCTTCTTTATTTTATCATGGTTTTAAGCAAGTATTAATCCATAGCGGTGTTTGCATGGAAAAAAATGCATACATTTTCAAGCCTCTTATTTTTTAAATTTTTGGACCCACAATGGCATTAAGAAGGTAAAGTCATTCAAATTAGAAGAGATATAAATAAATTGTTTTATTTCAAAAAATCAAATTTTCTTTAATTTGTTTTTCAATTTGTTCTGTTCTTCGTTGTAAGCAAACGCTTTGCGAAAACAGCTGATATTTTTGGCAGTGCTTAACATGCGATGCTTTTTTAAATTAAAAACACAGTTGTATACCATTAGTATGTGGATTTCGCACCGGATTTAAGATAAATCCGGTCGTGAGGAGATCTAATTTGTATGTTAAATCTGGTTGAATAAATCCATATTAATAATAAATCCTGATAATTTGGGTTAATCCGGATAAAATTTTGTATCTAAACGCGCTAAAAATTACAAATTCATAGCTGAATGTTATTACTATTTGAAATGATATCAATTGTACCATGGTATTATCATGAGCAAGTACAATTTACATTTTTTTATTGTTCGAATGCAAAATTTAAACAACAACATCAATGCGGAAACATATGCGACTTTCGAGTGTTCCGCAATATCAAAGTCATACCCAGCGATGCTTTCAGTAACTATGTAGATTCAACATCGGGTTTATTTTAAATGAAGTCAGAAGATCTGGGTTTTTATGGTAGTAGCATTGTAGAAGAATACAGGTAGATGCATCAACGCTTGGGAACATTGATATGTCAAAGTTTTTAAATTGTTTTGTCAAAAATAAGTAGATTTTTATATATTTTCTTATACGATGCAAATTGGAGGTTGTTGTAATATGCATATCTCAAAAATTTTTACAAATTTCAACAATTTTTCATTCAACATTTTCAATACCAAAATCGGTTTGACAGTTCATTGTCCCAGCAGCTGTGTCGAAGCGACTACCTGTATTCTTCTACCATGTATAGTAGTAGGTTTACATATGGCACAATGACGGAAGTTAGAACAAAGCTACCACCTAAATACAATTTTTTTCTTTTGGTGCCCTTATTCTGTCGATACATATACACATTTTGTGTATGTGTGTGTATAGTTTTCAATAAAAACTAAAATAATTTAAAATTTTATTTTCCGTTGCAAAATAAATGTATATTTTCGATGTTAATGGGTATCGCATTGTACAATATTGGGATAGAACTGTATTGTCCTACTATCTTGTGGAACAACCCCAAAATTTAATTATTGTTTCGCTGGTTTTTTCCCAATATAAGAATTTGGTTAAAAAATGAAAAGTAAACAAAACCAACTGCTGCATATTTAAAAGTCTATTTGACACTATAACACTTCAGCACAGAGTTGCATTTTTCTAGTTTCTTTGAAGTTGAGCAACCTTTCTTATTGAGCCATGAGTTTACATACATAATCTCTAACCGGATTAACCTGATAATTGACCAATCACAATATATATATAAAGTATGTTTTATATAGTCAGATTTATTGTGATTTGTCAACTAAATCTATATTCTTGATGATATGGATTGATCAGGATAACATTTTCTAAGCGCGCTATCGGAGCCCATGCTATTGAAATAAGAGTAAACAACGTGTCATATCATATATATAGTATATATTTATCTTTATTTATTAAGATACATTTACATACATATGAAATTTAGGAAAATCGTATAAAAGAAAAAAATATATGTATATAACATATAAACACTTATAATTTTTGCGGATTTTTTGTTAGATTTTTAGAGTAGATTATGGGTACTCAGATGTTAGGTTTTTGTTCTTTCATTCATTAGAGAGATTTATTTGAAATAATTGTTTGTGTTTTTCTCAACTGTTCTCTGCCCAGTTGTTGGGAAAAATATAAATTATGGTGATAAAATATATAGAGCTTTTTCTTTTCTTTTGTTTGTTGTTGGATTAGATTCTGAGATTTTCATTTGTTTGTTTGTTTTTTTTTGTTTGTTTTAAATTGTCCTGTTAGTAACGCTATTACAACTATTTGACTGTTTAATATAATTATTATTTTTTGTAGTTAATTTCGTGTGTGTGTTTTGGTTTTTGTTTCTGTAATATTTTTGTTTTTGTTACAATATGGTAAGGTTATGTTTTACTTTTACTAATGAGCTTTTCGGGGGGTTTGAAATACTTTTGCTTTGCCAATTTTGTTTTCATTGATATTTTGTTTTGCTTTTGTATTATATAAGAGTATGCACTCATTATTAATAATATATTTTAGTTTTTTTGTTTTTACAAAATGTTTATAAGTAATCATGTACATATTGTAGCGCCTGTTGCGGTTGTGTTCTTTTGTTTTGGTTTTTGTTATTATTAATATATGTATAGTATAATTAAATTTTACTTTATCCTTAATACATATAAAATGTTTTTGGTTTGTAATCAACATAACAACTTTGCCCGTTATGAATAATAGATCCTTATACTTTGTTATCGCTTTTCGCATAATATTATTTATTAGGTTTTGATAGTTGATGGGTTATCTTTTTATTTATCCTAGTTTTTGTTTTATTAATTTCTTGCAATAGTAAGTTGATTAATATACTTTTTTCTTTACTTAGTTTTTCGGTATT